ATTTTTCTTGGGGCTGGGGATTTAGCTCAGTGGTTTAGGCACCTGCCTCGCAAGCTCAAGGACCCAAGTTTAATCCCTTGTACCAAAAAGAAAAAAAAATTTGGTTTTTTTAGGTACCGGGGATCGAACTCGGGTCCTTGTGCTTGCTCAGCAGGCAGTGAAACCACTGAGGTAAATCCACAGCCCCAAGAAAAATTTTTTTTATTAGTACATATTTCAGTGCATAATGATCTTGGGAAATTGGAACAGGTACGTAACATGTCTTAATTTTTTTACTTCCCCTTTCCCTCTTCTCCCTCCTCCTCCCTTCATCTCTTGGTCCTCTTTCTTCCTGTTTCCTATAACCTATTTTTTTATTTTGCTCTTTAATCTGTTAATACTTTTGGGTTCTCATATGAGAAAAACTAGGGCTGGGGATTTAGCTCAGTGGTGCTGTGCCTGCCTGGAAAGCAAAAGTTCCAGAGTTCTATTCCCTGTACCAAAAAAAGGAAAAACTATGAGCTATTTAAAAGCTTATGTGGCCAGGGATTTACCTCAGTGGTTCTGCTGCCTGCCTTGAAAGCGGAAGGTCCCGAGTTTGATCCTCAGTACCAAAAAAAAAAAAAGCTTATGTGTCTGTCTTATCTCACTGAACATTATGGTCTCAAGGTGGATTGGTTTTCAAACAAATGACTCAAATTTAGCCTTCTTTACAAATTGACCTATTAATTAATTAATTAATTAATTAATTGAGACAGGGTCTCTCCATGTACTTCAGACCGGCTTTGAACTCACTATGTAGCCCAGGCTACCCTTGAACTTGCAATGATCCTATATTAACCATTTTTTTTCCCTTGGTACTGGGGATCAAACTCAGGACCTTGTGCTTTCGAGGCAGGCACTGTGCCCCTGAGTGAAATCCTTGGACCCCTATATTGACCTTTTAAAGGGACACTCATTGTCCCATAGAATGCCCCATTTTCTGTGTGTTTATCTGATTACTTCCTCATGGTTTATTGGATTTGCTCTCTTAGCCCTCTGGAAAGTGAGAGTTTGGGTCTAACAGTCTGACTGGATGTAAGTTACGAATTTTGAGCAAGTCTGGTCATAGGTGATGCTGTGTGTTCATCAGGTAGCATCTGATCTTGGCTGCTTCATTGTCAGGGATGCTCAAGCCCATCATTTGGGTAAGGAAGTGACTGCCGTTTCTTCCAGTGGAAAAATACTTTTCACTTTGTGGTTAAAACCAGTATAGAGGTGCTGATAATGCTTTGCAGCCCGCTCATTGCTCAGCAAATCTTGGCTGAATGGTTTTGGCACCCAATGGTGACCCTGGCCTGAGTCAATTTTTTATTTTATTATCATTATTATTATTATTTTGCTTTTTTTTGAGATGGAGTCTTGCTCTGTAGTTCAGGCTGGCCTTGAACTCACTATGTAGCCCAGGCTGGCCTGGAGCTCGTGACAATCCTCCTGCCTCAGCTTCCTGAGTGCTGGGGTTACAGGTGTGCACCACCATGCCCGGTTTGGATCAATTTTTTTTTTTTTTAGGTACCAGGGATCAAACTCGGGTCCTTGGGCTTGCGCAGCAGGCGGCAAAACCACTGAGCTAGATCTCCGGCCCTGGATAAAATTTTAAAATATTGGTACTGGGGGTTGAAGCCAGGGCCTTTGCACTGAACTACATCCTCAGCCCTTTTTAAATTTTGAGACAGAGTCTTGCTAAGTCACTAAATTGCTTGAATTTGTGATCTTCCTGTCTCAGCCTCTGGAGTGCTGGGATTATAGGCATACACTACCACATCTGGGAAAATTTACCATCTTATCCTTATTTTTTCATCTTAAAATTTTCCTTTCTTTCTTTCTGTTTGTTTTTTGAGCCAGGGTTTTGCAGTGTATTTCAGGCAGGCCTTGAGCTCACTATACATCCCAGGCTGGCCTCCAACTCCTGCCTCAGCCTCCTGAATACTGGGATTGCAGGTATGTGCCACCATGCCTGGCTTCACCTTAAAAATTTCTAAGGGTAAAAAAAAAAAAAAAATTTCTAAGGGTATAGTTAATAATGTTAAGTAATTTGTTTGGTTTTTTTGGTACCGGGGATCGAACTCAGGACTTTGCACTTTCAAGGCAGGTGCCGGAACCACTGAGCTAAATCCCTGGCGATGTTAAGTAATTTGTAATGTGGTACAATAGAGTTTCAGAATTTTTTATTCTGTATCCATTAATTCTCCATTTCACTCTTCCCGCAGTCTCTGGTAGCTACCCTTTTACTTTCCATCTCTGAATTTTATAACTCAACATACCTCAAGTAAATAGAATCATACAGTATTTATCGTACTGTGATTGACCTTTTCACTTAGCATAATGTTCTCAAGGTTCATCTGTTTTTAATTGTGTGACAGGATTTCCTTCCTTTTTAAGGCTGATACAACAATCTGTTGTATGTATACAGCGCCTTTTATTATCTGTTGGTGGACATTTAGATTGCTTCTGCCTCTTGGTTATTGTGAATAATGCTGCTATGAACAGGGGTGTCCAACTAGCTCTTTGAGATTCTGCCTTCAGTTGTTTTGGATATATACCCAGAAGCACCACTGCTGGGTCATATGGCAGCTCTATTTTTATATTTGTGGAGGCCACCATATTGTTTTCCATACCAGCTCGTACCAGTCATTTCAAAATGACATCAACAGTGCACAAGGGAAAGTTCTTTTATCAATTTCTTAATAAGGAGCTGATACATCAAATTCTAATGATATATTCAAATACACATTTTTCTTTTTTTGAAACATCGTTATAGATGAATAATCTTTACTCAACAGTTTATAGCGCATTACATTCTTTTTTTGTTTGTTTTTTGAGACAGGTTTCACTCTTGATCTTCCTGCCTCAGCCTCCCAAGTGCTGGGATGACGTGTATGCAAATTTAACAAGTTTGGTCAGTGGAAAATTTCTTCAAAACAGCCATTGACCTTTTTATTTTTTTGAGACAGGGTCTCGCTGTGTAGTCCAGGCTGGCCTTGAACGCAAAACAGTTCTCCTGCCTCAGCCTCCCAAGTGCTGGGATTACAGGCAGCCACCACCACACCCACTTCCTTTGACTTTTTTTTTTTTGGTACTGGGGATCAAACTCGAGTCCTTGCGCCACGAAACCACTGAGCTAAATCCCCGGCCCTCCTTTGACCTTTTGAAGCCCTTGTTAGTCTTTCCGGCTCTCTGTTGAATACTTTTTTTTTGGTACCAGGGATCGAACTCAGGACCTTGCACTTGTGAGGCAGACGCCAGAACCACTCAGCTAAATCCCTGGCCCAAGTCTTCCCTGCTTTCTGGAACAAGTTGCCCTAGTTCCATTCAGATTCTGAGATCAGCCACTTTTCCAAGAAGTCCTGTCCCTGAGAGGTGAAATTGAGATCTGGGTGCTATGTGTGTATGCATTGCTCCCCGATCCTTTCAACTGACAGAAATAGGAACTATAGCTTTTTAAATCATGAGTTCATTATTTCCATTTCACACTTAACATTAGGGACTTTGTACAGTGTTGGGATTTGAACCCAGGGCCTTGCACTTGTGAGACACAGGCTCTACCTCTGAGCTACTCTCAGCCCTCATTTCTTTGATCTTATTCTTGTATTGTTTTCCTCTATCACTTCTTTTTTGTCTTTTCCTCCTTTCTTGAGTCCAGTGAGCATGGTTTCGGATGAAAAGCTCACCTCTGCTTCCATCCCCACCCCCACCCATCACCCAAGTACTTACCTCAGGCAGGACCTGGGGCACTGCATTTCTTAGCACTGTTTTGTCTTTGCTCACAAGGAGATAGTAGTGATCTTGGGCCACCAACATGTCGGCCAGTCACAAAGCAGTAAAATGTTCTCCTAGAGGCAAGAGTGCTGAGGGCACTGAGAAAGGAGCAGACAACTGCCTGTGGAAGTCAGAAAGGGATTATGATAAACTGAGCCTAGCCAGGTGTTGTAACCTATGCCTGTAATCCCCACACTCTGGGAGGCTGAGGCAGGAGGACTGCCAGTTGGAGCCCAGCCTGGGCAACTCAGATCCTACCTCCAAAAAACAAAAAAAAACCCCCAAAAAACCACAAAGGGCTGGGGATGTAGTTCAGTGCGTAGGTCCTGAGTTCAATCCCTAGTACAGAAAGAAAGAAAAAAACTCCACACTGAAGGTATGCGCAAAGCTGTGGGACGGTAAAAGGTGACACACTGAGGGAAAGAATGGGAGAATACGAGGAGCAGAGACAGAGGGTAAGGGTAGAGGTAATAAGCGGGGACCTTGAGTGCCATGAAGTCTAGACCCTGCCAGACTGTGTGACGTGGCGAGCTGTGACTGCTGGCTTAGCTGGGTGTGGGGAGACTGAGGCAGCACAGGAGGCAGGCGAGTGTGGTGTGCAGCGAGGCAGGAGGCCCTGAGCTAAAGTAGTAGTAATGGGCAGGGAAGAGCTTCTGACGTGACCCACGCCTTGTGTGGAGTGCAACTTCCCAGGGCGCAGACCTGGATGCATCTTAAACTATGGAAAGGGGTGGGGGTTACCTGGGTGGGGGGGCAGAGGACGTGGACAGAGCTCAGTTTGGACAGTCAGAACCAACCTGGGCTCCTAGTGCACGGGGCACCCAGTGTCCACAGAGCCATCCTCAGTGGGACTACGGTGGCAGTGCCACGTCACCCTCAAGTACCGTTCAGGGGATTAAGATATTGACCCAGCTTCTAAGTGGGCAGCACTCTCAGCCCAGGGCTCCCAGCTCCTGGGTCCCTCTAGTCCCTCCCCAGGGGACAGCAAAGGGTGGCAGGAAAGGCCTGGCTGTCTCCCACTCCTACGCCAAAGAAGCCCCAGTTGGGGAGGGGGTGTCCCTGGCTGTCACCAACTCCCATGACCCTGGCTGATTTTCATTTCTATAGTTTGCTTCCCTCTCCAGTCCAAAACCAAAAGAAACTGGGGTGGCCAACAGCAAACACTTGCAGCGCACTTTACAGTTTAGAAAACTTTTGCATCAGTCATCTCACTGACACCTCAAGACCTTCTTCGGAAACTTTATTACCGTGATTTGACAGAGGAGACAGCTCATTTTCAACACATTTTCACAACTCATTTTCAACAGGGACGCAGGCCAGAGGTGCCAACTGTGCTTTCACTGCTGTGCTGCGTGGCCTCCTAGACCTCTGGAGCCCTGGCCAATGGCAGGGGCCCTTTTCAGAGACCCCTGGTCTCTGAAAAAAGTCCCACCAAGAAGAGAAGGGGGCAAGCGAGACTCAACTTTTATTTAGGGGACCTTAGGGACCGTCTGACACTCTTCAGCTCATGCAGCAGTTCCAGGCAGAATTTCAGGACCATCTTTCTCAGTCCTTGCTGGCCCTGTGGAAGCAATAGAGCTTTTCACAGCTCAGCTTCCTTCTCTGACACTCAGCCCTTCCCCTGCAGTGGAAAGGGAGCTGCCAAGGAGCACGAAAGGCAGCCTGTCCCCTCCAGACTGGCTGACAGGGGCTGGGAAAGCTCTCTGGTCCAAGAGGAGTCCACTGGCCATTGGTGCTGCCCAGAGGCTGCTGCCGGGCAGAGATAACAACAGAGGAAGGGTGGGGTGGCAGAAGCCCTCCCAAGAGTGGGGCTTTCAAGTAAACAATGAGCTGCTGCCCGGCCCCAGCAGGAGGTGACTCATCACCCCTACTGCTTGGATCCTGCAGGCCACATTCACTGGGCACTGAGGGACTGCTCAGCCTTGGCCCCTTCTCCCTGTGTGAGCTGCGGACCTCACCCTAGCCCTTCTGGTACCTGGCCCGATTTCAAAATTCTGGGCATGTCAGAGAAGCAGTCTGGAGAGTACTCCACCGCACCCAAGTGAGCAGAGGCCTTGGCTCTTGCCCGAGAACTGGAGTTCTGGTTTCAGGGTCAGGGCGGCAGACAGCAGGAGCAAGCGGTATCACCCTGTCCCTGGGCTGCCACCTGCCCCTTCCAAGAGGCAGACATTGAGAATGATCATGGTGACTTCCTGAGCCACACCTCTGAACACACTAAGGGCTGTGCCCTCACTGTCAGTCTGGAGGCGATAATCCCAGCTGAGGTGGAGGGGGCCCTTGAGCTTCACGTCTGCCTGAAGACAGACAGTGAGAGAGGCCAGTGCACCTGAGATGCCAGGATGTGAGAACACAGCACTTTTAATGGGTGAGACCCCAAATGGTGTTTGGACAGATTGTTTACTGCACTCTGCGCCTCTTCTACAATGTCCTTTTGGCTGGAATGCCATATAGAGAGGCTCCTCTTAGGTGGCACCTGGGGAGCAGGTCCGAGTCCTGAAATGTACAAAGTGGGGCCTCCCAGTGGGCAGCAGTCACCGGGCTGCACAGTCCCGCCAGCTCCTGGAGCAGCCCCCCGTCACTGCTTGGCCTTCTTTACGATGGTGCCCACAGCAGAGATGACGGTGGTCTTGGAGCCACTGGCACTTGTGGTGACAGTGACGACGGCTGGCAGGGTGGCCGTGGTGGTGAGAATGGTGGGCTGTGCTATCGTGGTCACTGGGATGGCGGAATCCCACTTGCTCTTTCTCTTCTGGGCATCTGGAGATAATGAAAGAGATAAGTCAGGATCAAGACCAACCCAAAGCAGCCCTCTTTCCTCTCAGATTAGAAATGGAAGGGCCCTGGCCCCGGAACCCTGAGAGCAGCCAGTGTGCTGGAGCTCACCCTAGATTCCAAACCTGGTGTTCACACCTTAGGTTCTACAAGAACACAGCAAGCATGGGCTCAGACCCAGGCAAGCCCGGGTCACCCTCCCTCCATCTGGCGTGACTGGGAAGCAGAGCGGTGTTGGGGCTGGAGAAGCCATCTTCTACCTGCGACAGCTGTGCTGGCAGTAGTAGTGGTGGTGGCCGTGGCATTGGTTGTGGTGCCTTTCTTGGTGCCCGTCACAAACTCAATCTGGAGGGGGAGAGAGGAGACTGAGACCATTGAAGAGTTGTACATCCGCTTCCTGTGCCATCCGTCTGCTCCAGGGGGACAAGAGTTTGGCACTACATAAAGGAGGCGCTGAAAATCACCTCGGCTATGAGCATCTGGGGGAGGGAAAGGTGCCTGAGAGAAGGCCAAAGGGGCTTTCACCACTCTTCAAAGAGCTTTCCCAACAGATGTCAGATCCCTCCCGGTTTTTGCACATGCCCGGCACCCCCCACCCGGCCCCTCAGCCTCACATGCCCAGAACCAGTTGGCCAGGCCCCTCCTCCTCACAACCAGGAGGAGGTGGTGCCCGCCCGCACAGGGGAAGGACAGCTCCGGTCCCCAGGCGCTGCAGACACGTCCCTGCAATAAGCCTGGGGTTTGGAAGGGAGAGGGAAAGAGAGAGAAGGGAGATTCAATCAAGGGTTAAGAATGAGAAACCCAGATTATCCCCTTGCACCAGCTCCCATGTTCCTGGCCTGCCAGCCAAGGCCTCCTCAAGGACCATCAACTTATCTGGGCCCTGCAGCCCCTCTACAGAGGGGTGAGAGCAGCTCCAGGGGGCTGCGGCTGCTTTGAGGTGGGACAGGCCTAACCAGAGGTGAGAGGGGCCAGTGTCTTGATGCCCAGCTTTCTCTCTCAGAGCCTCTGGTCACAATGGCATAGCAACCAGTGGGTAACATTTTAGCCTTAGAGCCAAATTGATGCTCCTGAAGGATCCAGGACACTGTGCTAGGGAAGTGGTGCTCAGGGTCTTAAAATGAGGGGTTCCCTGACATCAGACATGGGGCCTAAGGGAAAGGACCCAGGCAGGTCAGTGAGGTCAGCTCTGTAGGCAAAGAAATGCGGACTGGAGCAGGCTGGGGCCTCCACAGGTTCAGAAGGAAATAGTTCCCTCCATTCAGGCCTGGGTGGCAAGAGAACAATTGATGACCCCTAAGAGTTGAAGCCACCAGGGCTCTGGAACTGTGAGGGGGGGTGCAGGAGAGAGAAAGCATAAGGCAATGACTACGATGGAGTAGTGGGAGGTTTTTACGATCCACATCAAAGGCTGGGACACAGAGCCTAGCGCAGAGGGCACAGACAAAGCTGCTGAGAGCGGCGGTGGGGTGGGTTGGGGGGGGGGAGCCTGGGACTCCTGGGCTCGGCCAGCAGGACCTGTGCACTCTAAACGTCTGCCTTTTTTTTTAATCTTGGAGGTCTGCCACCACTTACTTTGGTTCGTTCCTTTTTGGCCTTTTCCAGTTTGTCCATTTCAATCTTCTGGGCCTTGGCTAGAGACAAGAGAGGTGGTTATGAGGGGGCCAGAGCAGCTGCTGGTGGAAGGAAGCTAGTCCCGTCAGGAGCCTTGGGGTTTTGTTTTTTTTTTGAGGCAGGGTCTCACTATGTAGTCCAGACTGCCCTTAAACTCAGAGTGATCCTCCTGCCTCAACTCCTGAGTGCTGGGATTACAGGCGTGCACCACCAAGCCCAACCCCAGGTTCTTTTGGGTGGGCTAAAGGCCCTAAAATGGGCTTAGTGTCCTTCTGCAATAGGCAAAATGAAGTTCTAGCCTTGGTCAGCATAAAACAGCGGCTTTGACCCAAGGGCCGAGGGGCTGGACTTCCTGTCTGGAAGGGCCAGGGACTCCTGAGCACCAGGGACTTCAGGCTCAGTGGGCACTACCTTCCTACTGATCAAGAGAAGCTGGAACCACGGAATTTTATATAAAATGCTGGCAAGTAATTCAAATTGAGACAAAACTTGTGTGAGCCAAACAAAAATACTGTCAACATGCCAAGATCTGGTCTGTGGGCTGCTGGCTTGAGACTTGTGGGTTAAAAGGTTTGGACCTGCTGGGTGTGGTGGCCCATGCCTGGAATCCCAGCACTCCGGAGGCTAAGGCAGGAGGATTGTTACCAGTTTGAGGCCAGCCTGGACTACACAGCAAGACCCTGTCTCAAAAAACAAAAAAACAAAACCAAAACCAAAGGTTTGGACTCTGTGAAATTCCTTCCAGCTCTCCATGCTGTGCTCTCAACGGGGTTCAGAACATGTGTACCCTCTGCCTGGGGACCCTGACATGGCTTCCTCAGCAGGGTCTTCCTAGTCCCTTGGCCAGGTCAGGTGACCCTGCAGCCAAAGGCTCCCCCCTCCCTCTGGTCCCACAGCTCTTAATATTGTACCACCTCTTAATACTGCTCAGTGTTGGAATTACTGTTCAACCTGCTGTCCTCTCTGGTATGTTTAAGTCTTGTAAGTTAGGGATAGGGTTTGTCTTGTTCAAGACTGAGTCACCAGCCCCGTGGACGTGGCCTGTGTAAAGGAAACCCTGCAATGCATTGCCTGGACCACTGACTGACCGGATGGACAAACAGACAAAAGGATAGATGAGTGGATGGATGCATAGATGGACAGGTAGGCAGAAGACAGGATACCTAATGCTTCATAGTAGGAATCCTCAGACCAGCCATGGGGGTCAAACATGTCCTGAAAAAGAAAAGATTAAGCTGCTGTCAGGAGAGACCATCTGGTGACTCAGGTGCTAAGAGTCTTTTCGTGGCCCTTCCAGGCCCTATCCTCTTAACAGCACACGGGCTCAGCTGTCACCCAGTTCTCCAGCCACAGCAGGAATAATGATGCACTTGTCAGCAAGACCCGTGGCTGGCTGACAGGGGCAGGGAGCCCACTGGCCAGGGACCCAGGGGCAGGTCTAGATAGGGCTTGTGGTCTACAACCAGCAGTGCTGCTCCATGTACCTTGCTGTGGCTGTAGGCCAAATACAATGGAGCAGAGTCCTGCAGCCCATCACCCTCTACCCTCCACATTTGGGACACACCTTTGGGTAGTTGGTGCCTAGCTCATCAATGGCACAGAACTGGATCAGCTTCTCATAGATGCTGAAAAGAGAACAGCACAAGCAGTGAGCAGGCACTGGTCCCACACCCCTGCACAGCCCCAGAACCACCAGATCCTGGAGCTGAGAAGAAGAGATGAAACTAAGCCTAGCTCAACTGTTCTGAGCAAGCTTCCTAATGGGAGGCCTGACCTCATCGCTTCTGGCTCTCCAGCCTCCGGTGAGGGAACAGTGACTGGGGCCAGGATCGGGGTGGGAGGAAGGGATGGCTGCATTCTGTGTCTAATCCAGACATCTCTGGCCTCTATAGTCTACATGGCTGGGTTGGATCCACCACACTCAAGCCCATGAGGTTCCTGCTACCACACACTGCCTACTTCTTTGGGTGCGCTGCTAGCTCAAGCATGGGTTAGAGCTAAGACCCAGATACTGTTCTATCCCTAAAACCTTTCACCTGTAGGCAAAGCCAACTTTTTACTTGGAAGAGGAACCTACACTACAGCCACTGTCTAGTCTAATTCCTTCATTATGCAAATGGGAAACTGAAGTCTGGAAAAGTACGATTTAGAGCAGGCAGTGGCAGAACCCAGCTGAGCCTACCCAGCTTGTCTGGGTCTTTCAGCTACCACTTCATGATTGGTTTGTATGTTTAGCCTGGATCTTACTGGTGAAACTGACTGGTTAATGCCATCGACTGTGTGGAGCAGGCACTTAGAACAAGGAGAAGCCTGGGTGACGGCCCCTTTGGGTTTAGGTGAGATTATGGATGGGCCTCTCCTCACCATGGAGATTCCGGGTCCCCTGTCCAGCATTAGTGACTCAACTTATCTGCAGGCTCATGAGAAGCTCACCTGGGGTTCCGAAATTCCTTCTTCCTTTGGATGATATAGTTCATGTCCATTCCTTCCTTTATCTTTCTCTCATAAAGCTTCTGGATCTTGTCCTGTGAAAAGAAACAGAAACCCATTCACCCCACTCTGGTCTGTGGCATGAACCCGAGACTGCCTGAGCCATGTGAAGCCCAACACCAGCCATGCTTTCCTCTCCCACCCAGCCTTTGACAGGAGCCACACACAGGCAAGATAAACCAAGACAAGTTTTTGTTGCTGATTTTTCCTGATCCCTTTTGGATGGCCAGTATAGTGAGCAGCAAAAAGGTCAAGGGAGGGAAGCCATGGAGAAGACAAAATACAAATCAGCTCCCAAATCACCTGAAGAGCTTACGGTATTTGAGTTTATGTGCAGGGAGGGGCTGAACATTGCTTTTAAATTTCAACAGGAGGATAAGTCCTCAGCAGAACTGTGAATCTCAAGAGATGGGGAAGGGCTGTGTTTTTCTGGAGGAAGGCAGGAGGTTTTTTTGAACTGGGAATCGAACTCAGGTCCTTCTGCTTGCACAGCAGGTGGCGAAAACACTGAGCTAAATCCCCGGCCCCTAGGAGTACAGTTTTTTAAAGCTGGTGTCAAAAACTTCCTAGACTATCTTTTCTGGTGCCTGGGATGGAACCCACGGCCTCATGTATGGCAGGCAAGTGCTCTACCACTGAGCTCACCATGTCAGGGCAGAAGACAGACTACCTAATGCTTCATAGTAGGAGTCCTCCAGGGCCACAACCAAAGGTCAAGGGCTCATTTCTCACCAAAATTCCTCTATAGGCCGGGGATTTAGCTCAGTGGTTCCGTCGCTTGCCTTACAAGTGCAAGGACCCGAGTTCGATCTCTGGTACCAAAAAACAAAACAAAACAAAACAAAACCAAAATTCCTCTACAGATCCCTGGCCTGGCTTTTGATGGGAAACAGGAGAACCACCTGGCTGGGATCCAAGCTCACCTACTGTAGCCAGTGACACAGGTGTCCTCAGGAAGGGGGTCCTGCCCAGCACACAGAGATGATGCTTGTTGCCGATGGCATCAGAGCTGGCCAGCATCAGCTAAGAGACCCAAGATACCCAAGACCTCAGGGTAGAGCCACCTCTGAGATCTACCTTACCCAGGAAGGTAGTGGTGGCACAATTCTAGATCTACCAGTAGCTTCCCCCAAGTCCCAGTGGCCATTAAATATACAGACTCTCCAGAAGGAAAACATTTGGGCATGTGTCACCTGCAAGAGGAGGTAGATGTGGCTGGACGTCCCCTGCCAAACCCCGAGGATGTATCAGAAGAGGTGGTCCACTGTTCTGGTCAGAGAGCTGAATCTTTCTGCCCAGATGGGACTGAGGAAGCACCGAGAAGTTTGTAGTAGACTTCATTACCAGGGATGAGAGAAACTGAGAATGACAAACTACTTTTCTCAATGTTATCTCTTCAAGGCCTTATACAGGAGGCTCGGCAACTGGAGTCAAATTCCTATCTTAGCTGACTGGGGTGGGTCATCTAATCTGTTATGCTACCTCAGGTGAATGGAACTGTTTGCTCAAGTGCTGTGCTTTGTACTTCTAGGAGAATCTAAAAAGAAAGAATATTCTGAACTTGAGGGCTGAGTGGTTGGTTGTCTGCCTGACAGGGCTCTGGAGTTGTCCTTACAGGCTGGAGCTTGTTGTTTGGCATGAAGTGACATGATTGGTGTTGGGGCCTTATGTTTACCTGTAAGTGATTTGAACACCTGCCAGGAGGTTCTGGTGGGATCTTGATTTCATCAGGAGACATGTTCCGAACCCTTTCAGAAAAGGAGGCTGTTGAGAAAAACAGAACAATCCTGCATGTGAGGTTAAAACGGGACAGAAGTGGACATGAAAACACAAGTATATAAAATGTTTTCAAGGAGAGATAAATGCTGTGAAAACAGTAAAACAGGTCATTCAGGTGTGGCCTCTTGGAGACAGTATCACTTGAGTTGAGGTCAAATAGCCAGAAGGAGCCAGCCATATGCCAACCTGGAAGAGGAGAAATCCAGGGAGAGGGCACAGATCCCAGTGATTAACTTTGAAGGAAAGAATATGCTGAGCGATGTGTTGGGAAATGTTTTAGCAGCCAACTGTGGAGAAGGAGCCATAACAGAAGCATCTGTCAATCCGTGAGGTGTAAAGTCTGCTGTACCGTTTCAAGCTACTAACACGAAGTCAGGGAACCCAGGGCTAGCAAAAGCCATGCACAACTGGCTCACAGTGTGAGCAGGCTTCAGCCCCTCACTGGGCAGCCCTACAACACCTCTCCCAGGATCCAGGAAATTAGAGCTGCCCAGCGTCACCCTGCTTGTCTTGGGGTGACCTGCCTATGGAATGGGAGAAACTGTTCAGGGTTCCCTAGGTTCTGGGTCCCAGAGGGTCCAAAACAACTTGTTTGCATAAAGACACTTAAAAACTACCTGTTGGCTATTAGTTTAGGGTCTTTTTATATGTTTTGTCTTTGGAGTGCTAGGAATAAAACCCAGGGCGTGGCACACGCTAGGCAAGCACCCTTATCACTGAGCTGTACCCCTAATCCTACTAAGGGTCTTTAAAAATAAAGCAATCAGCTTTCTCTTAAGGGGGCTTCCTCATTTTTGGGAACAAAAGGCCTGATTCTGACGAGAAGAACCACAACCCCCAAGGGACAATTCCCTTAGAAATTTGCCTCTGTCCATCCAAGCCTCACCCTCTCTCGCCCCACTCCCTTCCCTGTAGCCTCTGGCCACCCTGGTGACCGCAGAGTCCTGCTCTGGATCATTCAGACAATGTGCTGTTTGTTGTTAAGATTCTGTCTGTGCTCTTTGAAACATTCTCTCATGAAAAGGACTATACAATGAGCAAACAGTGGGCAGAACAGGGTGGGGCAGGAGGAAGGGAGAGAGTGAACAAACCACCAAGAATAATATCTAACAAGTACTTACTGTGGACTTACTGTGCATTAGGCCCCAGGCAAACCCTAGAGCAGTCCCTAGGCCTGAGTGGCTGCCTGGCCTCCAGGTCTTTCTGGTCTCTCTTCCCAAGGGTAGGTTAATGTAAAAAAAACAATAGCTTTTTGAGATGGAGCCTTACTATAGCTTGCCCAGGGTGGCTCTGAACTCCTGGTCTCAAGCAGTCCTCCTGTCAGTCTCCCAAGTAGCTGAGACAACAAAGGGTGTTCCTCTGTGCCTGGATTCCGTTAATGTTTTCTTAGCTGCTTTGTTCTCCACTTAGTTTCACTATCACTATGATACACAGTTTTGAGCAGGGCAGGGGACAAGGGCCTCCAAACTTCATCCAGCTGCTATGGCCCTAGTCTGGATGCACTGCAAACACACCGAGGCTGGAGGTCACGCCCAGGGCAGTCTTAAAACAGGACTATGTGTGCAGATTTCCACTGTCAGTGGGTTCTTGCTGGATATACCTCAAGGATAGTGCATAAGCCCGAGGGAGGGAAAGAGGACAGAGTCTGAGTGAAACATAGATTGAAGGTCACCACTGTAGCCCAAGAGCAGTGTCAACCAGGGGACGACATGCTTTTTTCTGGCAAGCAACTTCCTATTATCTCCTTACTCTTTAAGCAAGGGTGACAACCAGCTCGGGATGGAGTCCAAGCCTCAACCCGACTTCCTTCTTCCTCCCAGCCATGGCATGGGCAGAAGTTCTAGGCCTGAGCTCAAGCAGACTGCAGAGGCCAGTTGAGAGTAAAAGCAGCTGAGAAAAGCCAGTCTTCATATTTCATGGGCATCAGCAACAAAAGCAAGGAGGCCTTGGCAGGCACTGGACACATAAACAAGGAGGGTTAACTTGTTCCCTGGGCTGGAGAGAGTATGTGTGCATGTGACAGGGAGACAAAGAATGCCCTTTGGCATTTGCCAGGAAAGTCTTTTAGAAAAACAGGGTGTGACACATTGCCATAGAAACCTCACCACCCTCTAGGGTGTAAATGGTAGAGAGTATGACAGGAGGCGGGAAACCCCTTCTGAGAACTGGGCTAGAAACAACAGAATTCCTAGTAACTGACAATAAAGGGACACATTCTGGAAAATAAAGTGTATTATTTTTGTACACCAATTTCAAGAGCAATTTCTCAGTGGTTCTCTTTCCTAAGATCCAGAATGAATGCAATATAGAAGGCATTAGTCTTGTGGATCTCAACAGAGAGCAGCCAGAGGCTCAAAGCATTTTCCTGGGAAATACGTCAAGCAATGCATCCACAGGCATTCAGAAGCAGTGCCTGGGTGTATGGCTGCTGCGCGGGTCTGTACTCAGGACTGTAGAAGCCCGTAGTCAACCTGAGTGGCCAGTGCACGCCCACGTCGGCAAACACCCATAGCTGCCAGGTAGCCATCTGAGCAGAAGCAGCAGATCCGATGGGCCAAGATCACAGGGACCGAGTAGATGAGGCAAGACTGGGGCATGTACAGATGACTGCAGGATGCTGAGGGGCTGCAAGCAGGAGGCAGTGGGAATGTTTCCAGCTCAGGAGTGTCTCGGGGAACCCATCTGGACTGCCACAACAGCGCCACCCTTCCAGGTAGCTGTGGGGCACCAGTGGCGCCCCTGTAGGTCACTGTCGGATCTGTCAGGAGCTACCATGCTGGAGGCAACTACAAGTGGGCTTCTTTACTTTCTCGCTTGCTTTTTTTTTTTTTGGTACCAGGGATTGAACTCAGGTCCTTGTGCTTGTGAGGCAGGCGGCGGAACCACTGAGCTAAATCCCTGGCCCTATAGAATTTTTTTTTTTCTTTTCTGTACCTGGGATTGAACTCAGGACCTTGCGCTTGCAAGGCAGGCAGCAGAACCACTGAGCTAAATCCCTGGCCCTCGCTTGCTCTTTTAAAGGCAGGGCTGTCTATGTGTATGGATTGCTTCCCATGCCGAGTGAACAACCCATGTTGATACACCTGAAGTTACTTAACAAAAGTTGTTTAGTTCAGGCAGAGGGACTGACAAGCCTGGCGTCATGAATGGGAGCTACTCTGTACTACACTAATGAGGGAACTGGCATTGAAAAATGGATCTTTAAAAGTTAGATTTTTGTCTTTTAGAGATAAGCAACTTTTCTTCCCCTTGCTGAACACACAGTCACTACCCTCTCCTCTCCTCAGCCCAAAAGAAGTGACAGAATATGTAGATGCTGGCCCCAAGAGGCCCAGAGCCTAGCTTCTTTTTCACAAAAAAGAGAAGATGAGTTGAAGATGGCTGGAGGTGATGAAGCAAGTCTATTATCTCTCTGTGCTCCTCCCCAACTCTGTTCCTTAGTATAAAAGACCTTTAGCTAGGCATGGTGGTGCAAGCCTATAATCCCAGCACTTGAGAGGCTGAGGCAGGAGGATTGTCACAAATTTGAGGTCAGCCTGAACTACACAGGGAGACCCTGTCTTAAAAAACAAAAACAAAAAAAGCATTTGTGTTCTCTGTGGGTGAATGACTAAAACTGTGGTGCATCCTACCATGAAATACTCTTTAGCAGCAAAAAGAAAGAAATGATGGGTAGGTATGCTCAAGGACCTGGCTGGATTTCAAAAGCATCACGTCAAGTAAAGGACGCCAGACAGGAAAAATCTGATTCCATTTGTATTAGTGGTTCTCAATTAGGGCGATTCTGCCCCTCTAAGGAACATTTTATCATATCTGGGAGAGGAAGAGAGAATGGTGCTGGCATTTAGTGGGAAGAGACCAATGATACTGCTAAATGTCCTATAATACACATGATGGCCTGCACAACAGGGCATGATCCAGCCCAATGGGTCAACAGATTCTGATTTATGTAAGATTCCAAAAAAGGCAAAACTCTCAGGAAAAAAGTAGATCCCTTCTTGCCTGAGGTTGAGGGAAGAAACCATATAAAGAGAGGGGTGGAAGAGGAAAATTTATGGTGGAGCTAACACAACTATACACACTTGTCAAAATTCATCAAATGGCACACTTAAAATCCACAAATCTTACTTTGAAATTTTACTTCAATAAAGCTCCTGTTAAGGTATGTGTCCCCCAAAGCCTCATGTCATAGATGGGTGAATCCAGAGTGTGTAATGCTGGTATTAAGGGTGTGTGATTACTAAAGCACTACACGTGAGTGACTGGTTTGGTACTGTCCTAATCCCATAGTCTGAATAAGATAAAAGGGGCAGATACTGTCAAATCTCTCTTGTTGCTTTTGCTACCATGTGGGTGCCATGAGCTGTTTCTCCTTTGTGATGCCCCTCCTGCCTCTCTTGTTGCTTTTGCTGTGTTTCACTGTCATGAACTGTTGCCCCTCTGCCACCCTGCCTTGGAGCCTGCCGATTATAGACTGAAACCTCTATAGACTGTAAGCCCAATAAACCTTCCCCCCTTTAATTTGGGTGTTGGGTGTTTTGTCTCACCAACAAGAGAAAAATAAGCAACACAGCTCCTTTTTAAACTTGGAGAGAGGCAAGGTGTGGTGGTGCATGCCTGTAATACCAAGCGCTTAGGAGGCTGAGGCAGGAGGATCACCATGAGTTCGAGGTCAGCCTAAAGCATACATTAAAACCCTGTCTCAAAAAATAAATAAATAAAGAAAGAAAAACAAAGGAGAGAAAAAGTGCCCAACTGCCCAACTCAGGGCTGAGCTGGTTGATGCCCATACATGTTCCATTACTTGTCCGATGCTGCTAGTGATAGTGGAGGGCAGAACTGTGTCAGCTCAAGGACAGGCTGCTCTCTAACCCTCAGCTGTGACGTTTCTCAGTAATAAGTGGCTGGGTCAGGTGTGGTGCAAAGGGGCAAAGAGGCCAAGACTCTTGCCAGAGCTGGGCCCACAGATCCCCAGGAGGAACGGCCTCCCTAGAGCCATGTGCTTTTGAAGCCAATTGCTGCATGCCTAATGTTGTTACTATCTAAAGAGCAGGCACTAGAATTTAGGAAAACACTAGCTTTTACTGGATTTGAAATACTCAAATTCCCCCATTAAAGAACCCAAGGACTGAGAGAGAATCCTGCTACAGATGTAAGCTGCTTGGAGTTGTCATGTTTCTACCCAATCTTTTCTCAGAAGACAAAAAGGATTCCCAGCTCTTTAGTAAGGGGAAATCAGGATGGGATCCCACCTCCCACTTCCAGCAAAAGTCCTACTTAGAGAAAGGATAGGCGGGAGGGATGCTAGTGGAGCACTTCAGACTAAGGCCCTGGTTCTGAACCCCCAACACAGACACACAGGAGTGGGTTCTACAGGTGTCCTTAGGAAGAAGAACTAAAGCTGAGTGGAACCCTCTTTGAAGATCAGAGGAACAGGCAAGGAGAGCAATAATGGCCACCATGGAGAGGAATGGCTGAGCTCACTGAGAGGGAACTTCCCCTGGGTCAGGCTGTGGAACCGTTATAAAGTCCATGGCCAAATGAAAGGAGCCAAGGGGTTCTGTAAAAGAATTAGGAGGCTGGGGTTGGCAAAGGGCATGGATGGTATGTAGTTTTCCAGAAATGGCCCTGCCCCCTCCCAAGGCACCAAGAGACCCAGAAGCCAGGGCTATGAGGCACGTTCCAGCCTCGGGGCAAAGAAAAGCGCCAACAGAGGCTGCATGCCAACTCCCTGAGTAACACGAATATGTTAGTGGAAGGGGAGAAGGGTACAAAGACAGAAGACCGGCTCAGGGCACAAGAGGAAGAAGCAAAGGCCAAGATGAGTTTCCAGCTGACAGGGGCCTCAACTCCCTCCTGACAACATTGGCAATGGAACAAAGCCCAAGAAAATGCACCATCAATCTGACATTCAGAGAAAAACTGTTCCCTAGGGTCTCATCCAGTCACCCTAGGAAATGCCAGAGGTCCCGAGAAGTACGAAGAAAGGGCACACAGCAGAGAGAAGCCCAAGGCACAGAGGCTGGTGTGGCCTGAACCCAGCTTGCTCAGGTTCAGAAGTATGGCCCTGGGCTCCCAGGGAACTTACCCACTAACTCCTGGGGATCTCGCTTCTCTACTTCTGTATTATCCTGTCAAAGAGAAAGAAACACACAGAGGTAAGAGTGGGCTCCCGAGCCACAGTTACTGTTTTCACTGAGACACCTGGGGGTTTTATGGAAGAGGAAAAAGCACTGCCAGCGCGAGCGTGGTGAGCAGTGCCTTGGGGACTCCTGGGACCCTAGAGCCTCCTACCCCTTCTCCCCCATCACAGCAGCTGGATACCGGAGCCTATGAGCTTTCTCCCACGGCCTCCAGCAGGTACCAGTACCAACTGAGGCCAAGGAGACCAGCTGGCGGGGATCCTGCCCTGGCCACCTGTGTGACCTGCACCTTGCTTGCTGTTCCCCTGGGTCCAGGAAGTGTGGCTGGTCAGTGCCCCAGAGCACACCTTAACTGCCAGCACAGAGGAAGCAAGGGGGACCCCGCATAACATCTGACTGTCAAGACCAAAACGAGATTACCTGTTCCTGAGGAAGTTTTCTTATGTCTAGTTTAAGAGGAGGGACTTTATCATAAGGACAAAGGGACAGTACACGGAACTGCAAAGCATGCATACAGCACACCTCGGAGGTGACAGAAAAGGTGCCCGGCTCAAGGCAGCCTCTCTTTGGTCTCCCTGACTCTCGACTCTCTACATCCCTTCCTCTGTTGCTCCAAATGTAAAATGGCAAGAATATACCTGCTTCTCTAAAATGCACTAAGATCAGAGATCTCAAGTGCCACCTCAAACTAATGATCAGAATGGTAAAAGCTAGGTTTGCAGAAAGTTGTTGGATCTTATTTCCTTTCCCTTTGCTTGGTGAGGGAGGAGCTAAGACAGTAACAACTCTGCAACAAGATCTTCACAGAAAAACAGCCACAGAGCTCTGGGCTTCACTTACATGAAGAAATGCTGCTGCATCAAACCACATCTCAAGAGGGAAAGTGTGAGGGGGGTTATCAAATTCACTTCCAGCCATGGTCCCATGCCAAAACCAGACTAGAAGTTCTTAGCCTCCTTCCCCCAAAAGTCCCTCCTAATCAGAGGCCAAAAGTCCTCCATCTCTACTGAACACTGCAGCTATTCATTCAAACTGCAAGGACATAATGTTGAAGCCAGGCTGCTTAGCAACCCATCCCTTTTAGCCATCTACCCCCTGCCAATCAGGTGGGCAAAGTGGAGGCTTGCACTGGGCTGAGGTAGAGAAGGAGTGGGAGGCAGGCCTGGAGGGTTGCCTGGTCAAGTTCAGGTTGGATTCATAAATCAACTGTTCTATAGAGACTGCCAGTATCTGAGGGGACCAACAACAATCTCTTTGTAGCAGTGACTCTGTTAAAGAGCCAGTCAGTAACAAAACATGGGACTGTAAAAATTCCCTCCCATTTTGCCTCTAAGCAACAGCTTTCTGGGTGCTAATTATGGGAAAGCATCAGCTGAGTGTATCTTCTCTCCCCCTAGCCAGCTGACTGGTAATAGTGGAGAGTGACCTATGAACTCTCTAAGGGTTCTAAATTTGCTGTTCACCAAGGCCTGTACCTTTTCAAGCTCCTTTGATGGACAGAGATGCAGAGCTGTGAGAGGAGGTTCTATATTCACTGGAATGAGAGTGTGTGTGTATGCACTTTTTATTTTGAGACAGGGTTTTGCTAAATTGACTGGGCTGGCCTTGAATTTTTTTTTTTTTTTTTTTTGGTACCAGGGATCGAACTCCAGACCTTCTCCAGACCTTCTGCTTTCAAAGCAGGCGGCAGAACCACTGAGCTAAATCCTCCTCGGCCCCTGAACTTTTTTTTTTTTTTGAGATAAGGTCTTGCTATGTAGATTAGGCTGGCTTTGAACTCACTATGTAGCCCAGGCTGGCCTTGAACTCATGGCGAGCCTCCTGCCTCAGCCTCCTGAGTGCTGGGATTACAGGTGTGCACCACCACGCCCAGCTATAGTCTTGAACTTGTGATTCTCCTGTTTCAGCCTCATGAGTAGTTAGGACCTCAAGTCTACTGACATACTAATCCAGTATCTATCCCAGAATTATAGGAAGTTGGTTTCAAACGAGCCATGTCTCTTCAAAGGGAAAAACATTTGCCACTTCAGAGGCTCCCTGGTTACAGTAAGAGGGCAGAAGGTGGTTTCTTATAGCTTTTGTGACCATGGAGATGGAAGGGGACAGGACGTATGTGGTGATGAGAGGGTGATTCTTGCATTTCACAAGGGTCTGGCTGGCTTAGCTGTGGTTGTTTAGTCACGTCTCTGGAAGAAAAGATAAGATGGGGGGAAAAAAATCACAGTCTTTCGCATTATGGCTTGGCTTCCCACTTCACTCTAATCCTCCTTCACACACACACACACACACACACACACACACACACACACTGGGCAGTTGGTTTCAATTCACCTACTAGTCTAGTCTGCTGGAAGGGTCTGGAGGATCCACAGTGAGAATCTCTGCTTCCTGCTGGCCACACTTGTCCTGTTTTACAAGGTATCTCTTCCGCCTGAGATCAATAAGCTAGATCTGAGTCAGCTGAGCCCCAGGCGCTGGCATGGCACTGAGCTGCTCCCGAGGATGACAACCCAAGTGCTTCTGTTCCTTAAGATGCCCACTCTCCCACAGCAGCCTCACTCCGAGCCTGTCCCACACACTGGAAGTGAGGGGCTGAGTCTTCAACAGAGATGGGTTCGGATTCAACAACATCCAGGAGAGCTCGATGGCCAGAAGACCACAGAAGAGGGTGGCAAATACTCCAAAGATGCTTCTCAGCGCCATGGACACCTAACAAGCAAGTTTTATTCAACGAAAGCAGCCTCTTTTCCGACTGTCAACACCGACACCATAAAGACCCCTACCACCAATGGCAAGGAGGAGAGAACTGGGACAGGGGCTATGTCACACTAAAAACAAAGACCTGAACAGACGTCTTTCTACAGGTCATGCCAGATACTAAGAAATCATTATGAAAATGAATCGAGCATCCACAATGGCCATCATGAAGCTAGCCATGACACGTAAAAACAAACGTGAAAAAGGAGATGGAAGAAAGGCTCCTATCATTAAACCGATAATGGTGTAGAAATCAGTGTCACAAAACCTGCTCTTGTAAAGTTTCACCATGCTCCTAAACAGGCAGGAAGAGGGAAGGAGGAGTATGAGGACACAAGTAGAAAGCAACAAGAAACCACTCTTCCTCTTTCCTTCCCCTAAAGCCATGTTCTGAAATTCACAGGTGACACCTGTCTTGACTTGTATAGATCCGTCCCTCTGGCTTCTAGTTGGTAAAAATAATGAACTCAGCTTGAGATCTATTTAGCAGACAGTCATTTGCGTCAGCCAGGAGGCATGGAACCCACAGCCCCAAGACAAGGAGGCAACAGTATACACCCCTGAGACAGAAGAGGCTGAGGGATTCTTACCCAGTGTATGAGGAAGATGTGAGCAGACACAGGAGGGAGGAGGAACAGCTGAGCTGGTCAAAGAAACCAAACAGAGGCAAGGACTCCTCTTCTGTCCACATCCTCCTCTTCTGCCTCTGCTTGAGACTGAGGGGCTGCAGCAGGCTGGAGAACAGTTCCAGGGAACCTGCCGATTTGGTTTCTTAATTGCGACTGGGATTTGTTAAAAAAGAATGGACTAGCTATGCCTGTAGGTCAGTGACAGGGTCCCCACTATTCTCAGGAGTTATAGAACCTGGAATGTGGGTCCTCCTGCAGAGAAGACAAAAGCCCAGCCACCAATGAAGCTTACTGTGGCACAGGAAGGAAATAGAAACAATATGAATCCACAAAGCTAGAGGAGCTGCCATGTGAGTTGGGACCTGAGAAGTAGTAGGTCTTCACAGAGAGAATGGAGGTTTATTTACGGCCAACAATGCTTTCAGTCTTTCCTGAAACCAGCCCAGAAAACATGCACAAGCTCCAGAGACAAACTTAAGTCATAAAACTGAGAGCCTCTGGGTTCTGGAGTCTGCCAATCTACATGTCATGTTTTCTTCCTAGCTTTCAGGTACAGAGAAACCACTCTGAGCAAAGCACAGGGCAATCTCGGCCAAGGCCAGGAACAAGCATGCTGACTGGGTTTTTTTGGTTGGACAATATACAGTAACATGGTAAACTGATACCAGCCAAACTTTATATTCTCAGACCTGTGAGAGCTCACACAATTGTAAAGTTCTAATGGTTCCTCACTTAATAAGCAGAATATCTACTTAAAAGTCCATGTTTTGGGCTGGGGATTTAGCTCAGTGGTTTCGCCGCCTGCTGAGCAAGCACAACGACCCGAGTTCAATCCCCAGTACCAAAAAAAAAGTCAAATGTTTACCAAGGCTCTGAGGCTCTGCTATTAGTTCTTTCCTCCTTTCTCCATACCAGATGTCTGCAATGCCTGCTCCCTGACTGCTTTTGCCTAGTAAGCCCTGTGCAGACCCAGACCTCAGCCCAAGGAAGCTCCCTCTACCCCCAACTCCCTGGCCACTAGAGATACACTGCTTTGCTTGGTGCTGTCCCGTCTACTGCCTGGCATGGTCAGTGCCTGGCCAGAGGAGGTACTCAAATGCTGGCATCTGTCTGATTCTATTTTTGTCTCATCAGTTTTTCTTTACTCCTGTGCAGGGTTTCATGGTTAAAGTTAATCATGAAATGGTCAGTGTAGTAAACAACCTCCAATCTCCAAACCTGTGTAACTCCAGTCAGTTTCAATATGTGGGTCACTGAAACCAGAAGGAGGTAGCAGAAGATGAGCTAACAAAGAAGATTGGACTTGCAATAAAAAGGCTGAGCTGGGATAGGGAGGAGGTGGGGTGGGCACTAATACTAAATCAAGAACAACTTAAAAAACCAAATTCTTTGCCTTTCCTTCTGTACTCTCTTTCAAATCTCTGGGCATGAGGCACCTAAAGACTCGGACAAAAAGACAGAACTAAGCCAGGTGTGATGGCACATGTCTGTTGTCCCAGCTACTTGGAAGGCTGAAATGGGAGGATCGCTGGAGCCTACTGGTAGGAGTTTGAAACGAGTTAGCACAGCACAGCCAGACTCCACACACACATACAAAGAATT